TCCCCTATATAATCCCCTATAACACCCCCCTTTAAGGAGTTTAGACTATAGCTCATATCATACTGATGCAGCCCAAGGACAGCCTTGAGGACATCGGCTTCGCCTCTGCTCTCATCTTGTGTCTAAGGGATTTGGAACCCCAGTAGAAATTATAATTTCAGCTAAATATTAGGATTCTAGGTAACAGAAATTGAATTTGTTTTTCAGGAACCTTGTTTTTGTGCAAGTTCATCTTCAAAGTTGGCAGCCTGCTCAACGACTGACATTGCTTCTATATCATTGTTGCCCATTATCATGATCTTTGCTGTTATTAAACTCCTACAGTAGTACTCGTATTGCTAGCATTCGTTTTGCTCTTCAGAAAGTTGCGGCCGAGGTGCGCAAAAGATGGACGGTTGGGAAGGGCGACCGAATGGTGAAATCAGCTGCATCAGGGAGGCCCTCCGAGTACATGCTGTGTGCTGCTAGAGGATGGAAAAGTACCTCAACTCGACAAAAGCAAAAACGTGTGCTTTTGCATGGACCCACTCCGTGAAGGTGAGAACATGTAGGCCGCGGGCAATTTGCAACAAGTCCTGGAAACCTGCCCCACTAGCAAAACAAAGCGCATGTGGCCGCAGCCACGGCTGCAAACGGCCGCTCTTGGTTTCCCAACCTTGTTCACAAATGGCTTCCGTCTGCAGCCGCCATGACCTCCGCAAGCTTGCGCAAACTTCCTATTCAATCTGTTATCCTTTCGACAGCCCTCCTGCACCCAAAGATTACTTCTGGGACCCTGGCAAGCGCACGAGGTCCTGGCTTGTATCTTTTGTGTTTTTTAAAACCCTTCGGACTTTTGATGTCTGCAAGGCACGGCACGGGGTTCTTACCACAGACTCAGACAATCTACTCTCCCGTCTGCAAAGGAACTGCAACAGTATGCTTGTGACGACCCTCTAATAAATATCCCTCAGCAGAGCTCGAACCAGCCATCTTGCCTGCCTTCTTTAGGATTATATGGGGTTATACAGGCATTATATAGGGGTTACATAGGGATAATGGAAGATGAAATGGAAACTACGGTTTAGGCTTAAGGCTTTAGAGTTTAGGCTTTAGGGTTTTTCGCTTCAGACAACACGTGCGGATGTCAAGTGGCCCCCATCTTAACATCAAACAGCAGGGTCCTGCCACTGCGCGGCACAGCCTCCGACCAGGAAGCTGAATTCTGTAGAGCTGGCAGGAACCCCAAAACCCTAATAATAGTAGCAATACGGCAGTAATAACAATAGTAATAATAACGATAAGAACGATAATGAGGATAAGAGTAAACATAATCGAAAACAATAAGAGGGAACAAGCATCATCCCTTCCTTGCATGAACTGATGATGATTGACGCGCCATCTATGTGTGCATATATACATATATATATATACATATGTAGATATCTCATACCTTTCCCGGTCATGTCCCCTGTCATTTTCCATCTTGATTAGCAAGCCAGAGAAATAATATTCTATTGGCATGATCTACCTCTTGCGCTTGAGGAAAGCATCAGGAGATGAGACTTGGCCTAAATGACTGTTCCCAAAATGCATGAAATGTATACAGATACCCGTTCTTCAATAGGAACGCCAGCATGTGGACCCAACCCTCAACCCTCTACCCTAAATCCTCGACCCCAAACCCATATGAGCTGTAGTCTAAACTCCTAGTATCCCCCTTAATAAGCCCTATAGTAGTCCCCTATGTAATCCCTATATAAACCCTTTAAGGAGTTTAGATTATAGTTCATATCGTACTGAATATAAGGAGGCCCCCACATCTAAGCGCGCAGCTTATGGTGGGATCCAGCACCAGCAATGTTGTCTCCGGCCGGGGACCTTACCTCAAACTCATGCTTCATGAAAAAGATTGTCCAAATTATGATTCCTTTTTAGGGGTACATACCTTAAATGTCTAAGACCCACATTATAATGGGGCCCCAAACCAGGGGCTAGTCTTGAGAACCTACCATCTAAAACTCACCTCCTCCGCTACAATCAAATTCAATCTGGTATGCTGCAGCCAGGTTGCCATTCAGTGCGCGAGTGGCGTCATCTTCTCCAACCAACAAAGCGGCTTCGGAGGAGACTTCAGCGATCACAGCCTGACTCTCAACTCACCCTACTCACGTGAGCCATAGTCTAAACTCCTAGTGTCCCCCTCAAAGAACCCTAGAATAGGCCCCTATATCATCCCCCATGAAAAACCCCTTTAAGGAGTCTAAACTCAAGCTCATGTCGGCATCTTTGCCCTAGGCTTGCTAGCCGTAAGCAGGCAATGGAGGAATGGATGCCTACGGCAGCCCCTATAGAACCCTCAATAATGGAATGGTTTGCATTTTCATCTCCCTTCCTTCACCCCCTACAAACAAGCAGTAAGTAAGCCAATATCCATAGCCTTAAAGTCTGAAAGCAAACTATCAAACCCTAAATATCATTATCGTCATATATCCCGATATCAACCCTAAATCCTTAGCCCTAAACCCCTAAATCCATCGCAGCGCACGGGGCAGGGTGAGGTTTGTAAGTTGTTGCAATCGTAGCGAGCAGCGCCAGTCGACTGAAAACCTCTCCATTCTTTACACTAGGGTCGGTCATCCATGAGAGTAGTTGGTGTTGTCAAGCTCGACTATTCTTACTGTACATATGAGCCATAATCTAAACTCCCAGTATCCCCCTTAATAACCCCTATAATAGTCTCCTACATGACACTTTTTAAGGAGTTTAGACAATATAACCCCTATGTCACCCAATATAATCACCTTTTAATCCCCCATAGAATTCCAATAGAACCCCTATATAACCCCCTGTAGCCCGCGTTTTTCCTAGCTTGGCTGAGGAGCCTCGGCATCCTGCGCTTGACTGGCAACCAGTCGAAGCTTGCCATCCTGGAGTCTGCCAGGGAAGAGCTGGATAAGGGGGTTCTATAGGGGTTCTCTAGGGGTGTAATGGGATTCTATAGGGGATTAAAAGGGATTATGTAGGGTCATATACGGGTTATATTGGGATAATGGAAACTGAAATGGAAACTACTATTTAGGGTTTAGGGTTTAGGGTCTGGGGGTATAATGGTTATGGGGTTATATTATATAGGGGTTATATATTGGGATAATGGTTATAGGGTTATATTAGGGGTTATGGTACCTGCTGAAATGGAGAATCAAATGGAAAAGAGCATGGAAAGTGAAATGCCCACTGGAATTATGTAGGGGATTAATGGGGATTATGTGGAGTTATATAGCGATTATGGAAAAGGATATGGAGGTTTAGAGTTTAAGAATGGGCCAGACGTGGTAGTTGCGAAAAATACCTATCCCCAAAATGGCCGTAAGGTGGGTTCCTTTTTTGCTTAGGATCTCCTTTTAAGGAAGTGGATTCCCTTGGATCTCTGCTTTACAAGGACCTTTGGAACAACCCCACATGGTCGAAGCTACCTTTTTGAAGCCTCCCGAGAATTTTACGAAGCATGGTGGGGGAATGGATTCCAGCGACGACGATAGGGCATTACATAAGAATTGAGGATTGCTGTAGAGATCCCTCGCTCTTTTGTAAGCACTGCGCAGTTCTTCGCATCAACAATGGGCCCTTGCGGGTACGGCAACCCGATCATCAGCAAGAGTTATAGCTCCCCGAACGCAAGGTCCTCACGCACCGCCGATGCAAAGGGGCACAGCTTTTCACCTCAGCACAAGTGTTTTACTTCGCAACCGAGGCTGACTTCTCGCGTGTCTGAAGTGTGATGCTGAGGTTTCTTCGTGAGCTGTGCTCATCTGTTGCTTACGTCTCTATGCCCTGTGCAAGGCAGAACGGAGGGGCTTCAAAGTCTTCAGTGCTGCATCCGAGCGGCCGATGACAACTCTATCCAGCCAGCGTCGTGTCGTGTCCAGCTGTAGGTGCGGAGATGACAGTGAAGAGTAGCTCACGACACCTTGCAGCGGGTTCAAAGCTGGCAAACGCAGTAGAAATCAAGTTCAAAACAGTATGATATTGGTCATTGCCTGCCCCGGGAGGGAAGCGTGCAAGCACCCTACATGTAGATTTCAGCCTGCGGCAGAAGTCAAAGGCAGGCTGA